AGATGTCATTTGTCAAAAATCGAACCGCTATGGTGTCAAAGATTAAGGCTGAATTTGTGTCTGTTATTTCATAGTGTCCATGGACTGACATACACTAGTTACCATCAGTCGGTGTTCCAAGAATCTTCACCGTATGACCAAAGAAACAAAGACTAGGTGATAAAACTACCTCGTTGCCGCACACGTCTGGGGCACAACAGCTTTACACACAAATATCCCACACTATGGAATAGATTGCCTCAGGCTATCAGAAGTACATCTTCACTTCGAACATCTAAAATGCAACTAAAAGTGTGTCAGTTGCACAGACGAATGGGTGTATGAGAACGGGCCTGATAACATCTAAGTACTTGCGGAATTCGCAATGTAAAAATACAGATAAATATGACGAGAAGGGCTTGTCGACATAACGTGAAACACACTATTCCCTTATCATGAGTCTTTCTCGCTAGATAACTTAAATTTATCTCCCATCCTTCCTCCTACTTTGTCACATCCTTCGGTAGTACTCAAATTGAGGAAAACATCGGTACATCGATAAGTTGGATAAATGTGATCTACCTGGTCTTCTCTTTGTCTATACTGGTATATTCTTCATGTTACTCAGATTGCTGGCCCGGTGGTGACCTATGAAAACATGGACACATCAATGAGTTGGATAGATGGGATTTATCTTCAATTTTTTCTTCATCTACCTGCTTCTTACTGTGCTATTACTTAGCTTGAAGATCCACTGATGGCATTTGAAAAACATGCGCACATTGGTGGGCTGGATAAGCAAGCTTTTTCCTTCGAGTTTATACATTTCTTCTTTTCTATTACACAGCTAGGTTAAAGGCATGAGTGTCTGTTAGATATAGACTCACCGAAAGGGTGAATTGTTGATGGCCGCAACCAACTCACCAAATTTAGGTACGCAATTTCACTTGTCGTGTGTTATCCCATCTTTCCACTTGTGTAAGTCGTTAGTTCTAATTGATTAGTTTCATGATAAATGCAGTTCTTCGTGTTAACATCTGTCGTATTATCGTGTCTCCTCACATACTTTCACTATTTATAAATTATTGTTATATACCAATATTGTGAATTTTTAAATTACATTTTCGATGGACATATTGTCCTTCATCTAAAACGTTGTTATTTTGCTTTCTTTTCCCAACCATCTGAACGTTTTACAATCGTCGTGGATTCCGACGAATTTTGGAATGAAATCATTGGTGTAAAGATCAATGGAAATAGAGCCACAAATGATTTTGTATAGCAAGTTTGTAAAACCGGTCTGTATTTCTTTAGTATCTTGTGATCAGACCAGCTTAGCTGGACCGCGTCTCACCTAGCTGAGAATATACCAATTATTATTACCGGTCGACATCAACCACCAGTGTGTGGCCAAAAACAGCTGACGGTGACACTAAGCCTACCGTGGTAGCGTGCAACGCATCAATCGGAAAACTCCTGATCAATAATTGATTTCATGTGACAATGCTGTGCATCCCTTGTTAGTTACTTGTATGTGACCGACGAGTATTCACGGAATGACAGTAGTATCCCACAACTTTCGCTTTATGATATTTTTATTTGGAATTATGAAGAGAAATTCATGGTTCATACGACGGTGTGTTGACACCTAAGGCTGTGAATGAGTACAGTAGTGATGAATCATATGGGACCGCAGAACCACTGTAGTGCAGCATGTGGACTACAACTTCGTGTCGCTAACAGAGATGGTGTTCAGATATTGGCACTAGCGTGCTACATGTGGTGTCACACCACAGCGAATTGGGTTCGCTAACAGATACGCTCGTGTGTTTGGGCCGAAAGGTGACCCAGTGGTAAAAGTAGTGCGCGGGTGAATTATCCCGACGGAGTCGTTGTACGAGGAGGCCAATAGCTAAGCCCACAATATTGCCTTGGTGAAGATAAATCATTTCGCAACATAATGCGTCCAATGCATGTGTAAATCTTCTGAGTTGACTTATTCCATGGGAAAATATTCTTCTACTTAACCGGAGAAATATGTTTGCGTCACTATTTGAACAGTTTCATGATAATCCCGTAATAGCTGGTCGGGGGAATGGACATGGAATGGAATTCTACAAACATAGATGGCTTATCTGCTGTATTGCAGTAGGGAGAGTTTGTGATCAGGCAATATCATGCTGTAGAGAAACACCTGAGTTAAACAAACCACGCCGTTCCTACCTGATTCCAGACCTAAGATGTTGAAAAAGAAAAAAAAACAGTATCAACAGTTATACTGAGCAAATGACCCTTAAAAAGTGCACCTGAATCACTAAGAACATTCCACATGTTAGCTAGAGGTCAGAAACACCCGTCATCGTGTTACAATACAACCCAATTATGCGCATCAAAAAAGGAAGCGAACAAAAGTGAAACAAACAATAACACGCTTTGTTTTGAGTGTGGATCGATGATGAGATCGTAATTGGAGGGAAGATTAAACGGATTGCGGAGGCATACAAAACTCACGATACATACGCACATGAGCGTAACTCATCACTACCATGTCAACATGTGTCGCCAATCCAACGTATTAACGTTTTGGGACAAGAACCCAGAAGTCAGTATTCGCGCATGCGCAACACATGGGCCATACCTTGAAGTCTGGTGTGTGAAAAACGATGCTGATCGGTTCACTAGCATTTCCCGCGCCGAAAACTAGACGGCGAACACAATCACGACCAACACGGCGTTTCCACCAGATATGGGCAAAATTGTGGAGGCACCGGTGGTCAAACGTAACAAGGGGTTTCCACTTGAGGATCTGATGACTGCCTTCCGTGATCAGCAATCATTGCCATCAAAGTACGAACTGTCCGCAAGCGGTTGGATTGATAAAACACGGTCAAGATTTTAATGTCTTCATTGCGAACTTACCAGGTATATGATCCATACAGTAAACATCATCATCATCATCATCATCATCATCATCATCATCATCAGTACACACGATAGCTAGCGATGGAGAACACCACAGCTACTGTGCCGCAATACACAGAAGAAAAAAGGTGAGAAAAAAAGCAACTGGTGCAAGCTGGCTGAGCTACCGGGAACGGATGGGCATCGTCCCGGTAAGCTACCAGCCGGCTGCTGTGCACCAAAAAAATTACTATGCAAAATTATATAAGGCTAAATAATGAGATTGTGGTTGGAGGGGGAGGCTAAGAGGTGGGGTGGTGGACAAAGAAACTCACAGCACGAATGCCACTGAGGTCGACTCCTAGCCATATCAGCAAGTGTGTCCAACCAAACGTGTTCATCGTCTTTCGGACCCCAAGCAGGGAGCCGAGACGCTCCAACCGAGGCCAGCATAGAAGTGAGGGCCTTCATTCCTCTGGACCAAGTCATCGCTTGGCCACCCCTCCTCTTCCTCCATCCACACCCCCGGCGCGCAAACAACGCACGTCGCGGGAGTTTGTGGGCTGGCATGCGTAACACGTGGCCGAGCCATCGGAGCCTGGTGCGTGAAATAACTGTGCTGAGCGGTTCAGTTCCTTTTCCTGTGCCATAAACAAGGCGTCGGACACGCTCGTTGCTCACGCGGTGTTCCCACCAGATGTGAGCTAAATTGCGAAGGCACCGGTGGTCGAACGTAACTAGCCTCTTCAGGTCCGCTGATCTAAGGGGCCAGGTTTCACAACCGTACAGTAGGGTCGAACGTACCGCTGCATTGTACACTCTAACCTTCAGGGCAAGAGTGATGTCGCGCCGGCGCCATAAGTGGCGAAGGTTAGCAAAAGCGCCCCGAGCTTTTGCTATACGATTCGTGATTTCATCTTCAATCCCAGGGGTGCTGATACAACTTCCCAGGTAGTTGAATTTTTGAACAACTTCTAGCTGATCCTCACCAAGGGTCAGCGTAGGAGGCGGTCCAGACCAATCTTGGAGGAACGCTTTGCAATTCGAGGGTGCGAAGCGAAGCCCGAAGTGACGGACAGCTAGTGCTAATCGGTCCAGTGCCGCTTGGCACTTTTGTGAGCTGTCACAGATTAGGGCAATATCATCAGCATACTCAGTCAAGTCAAGAATTCGTTCTCCTGGGAGCAGATCCACACCTTCAAAGTCGTGTCCTGTGAACGCGATTTCCAGGACTTCGTCAACAGCGAAGTTGAAGAGGAAAGGTGACAGCGGGCATCCTTGTCTCACGCCGCCGGAGATATTAAAGGGCGACGACAACTTGCCATAAGCCGTCACTCTGCCCGAGCGACGCGCATATAATGCTCGGATAATATTTACATATTTCTCAGGTACGCCTTTCCTGAGTAGACTGTCCCAAAGTGCATGTCTATCCACCGAATCGAATGCACCTTTGATATCGAGGAACACAACAACGACACAGTAACATCTGCTTTACTATGATGTTCAGTGAAAGCCTGATAGCCTACCACCTCCATAGATCGTTGAACCTTTGGAAAGTCACACGGGCCTTGCTCATACACGAAGTAACTTCCTTAGTTATGTGACCATTAGATATGACACAGGTGTCAATGTAAGCGAGCCGATTCAGCACTACCAGTATATGTTCGCTGATAACTAAGACCGGTGGCGTATCGGTTCATTACTGTAACAAGACTTTACACTTTGAAGATGCTACGCACAGGCGGAATAGTGTAGCGCTGAAACTGCTAAACAGCCTTTGTTTGAGAAAATTAGATGTGAATTAGATGTAACGAAGGCACTTCAAGTTCCTGCGAATGGGACTGAAAATCCCATTACAAGCAAGTTGAACACATCATCTTGTGTGAGACAAAAAAGACTATGTACACCATTCATCTTATATACAAGGTGCATAAATGCGATACGAAAAGTGCTGATAACAGAAGATCCAAGTCAAAACTGAGCAAAAGCTCATATATAGTCAATTCAGCGCTGCACTAACATACCATAAGGTGCATCAAATCAGAAGAGGAGAGCAGATGATAGGAATCATTAAGCCACCCCTGAGGACACAATCAGGATGTGTGGAACCATGAACTCACCGCGTCCAGTGCTGTGCTAACCCAAAATATATCCCGACTCAGGGCTCGCATCTCTTTGTAATTGGCAGAAACACATTCTCTCAAGCGCCCAATTAGCTGCAAATCAGCGGCACGGTCTGGACAAAGACAAACACATTTCAAAAGATTTCATTTACTGATAACTGCTAAACAGTTGTGAGCACACAAGATAGTGCGAGCACAAGAAGGATAGGGTAGAAGAACCATCAACGAAACAGATAATGTTTCCAATAAGTAGCTGTTCAACGACAAGCAACAAAAACTGAGCGCAGACAAGTGCTAGATATTGTCCGGTTCCAACTCAGCATCCGATAACTAGTTTCATGTTTGTCTACATTTCTCAGTTAAAAATTGGATGATATCGGAATCAAATGCGGGAGGTGATTGCCAGCTGATGCCATTTAACTCTAAGTCAATGAGTTCGACAGATAAAGCTTGTCAAAATGTGTAGTGACTCAACGGTGGTTTTGAGTTCAATATCAATCGTGTGAATGGATCTGGGTATACAAAATTAATCCGGATCGAGATAGAATCTGAAATGAATTGCAGCCAATTCGGTCACTAGAACAGTATCTAGAGCTGATGTTGCATTCTTGATGCTTCTTCACCGCAGTTGGGCTAAACCAACTTACACTTAAACTCGGTCTTTTTAAGCTGGATAAATTTCATTCCACTTTATTTGGTTTGTTCTGTCTACCTGATTAAACTTCTATTAACTGGCCACGTTGCTTACGCTAACTGCGCATATCTTCGGTAACTTTGTTGTGTTTGTAGCATTTTTAAATAACTTGTGAACATTTCTAACTTATCGCGGATTCGTTGCTAACCAACTTACTTCATATGCTAATTTAGCGAAGAGTTATGTCACCGTATCTGTATGCATTATTGGATTTATTTTATTTCAGCTTGTCGTTTAAAGTGAATGGCTGTTGCTTCATATCCCTGGTGTGGCTGCGCTTGAGATGCATGTTGACAAGGTGCCTACCTGTCTATTACCCACTACCACGTTCATACTGGCTCCAGGAGACAGTTGGTCGTTACTGGAGGAGACGGGGTGTACGGTCCTTGTGGCCGTGCAAGGCTCAAAGAGCGGTTCCATGCATCAGTGTGGAGCGGACTACGGTCCAGCCACCGCCTTGTGTGCGCTTGATTCTCCAAATGTAGCATACTTGTGTTTGCCTGTTGATGGCGTTGCAATGAAATCTCCGCTTCGTCCATTGTTAGCGGATATTTATATGGGAATGCTATAAAGCGGTCCATTAAAACAGGTCACATCGGGTCTGAAATTCTATCGGCGTTATGTGGATGACATTTTGTGTAAGTGATCGGACCACCAAACCCCAGGATATAATCGACTGTTTCAACAATGCGCACGCAAAGATGGCATTTACAGCTGAGGAAGAAAACAACCAGATGAATTTTGTGGACGCAAGTCTTATCAGAAGAACCGACGGATCAATCCAAATAAAAGTATACAGAAAAACATATTGGACGGGACAATACATAAACTTTCATAATTTCGCCACACTCAGACGAAAAAGTACGCTGATGCGACCACTAACTGGTCGGGCACACAAAATTTACAGCGAAGACACCATAAAAGCCGAACTCGTAGGAATCAAAGAAACGCTTCTCGAAACTGGATATCCGGAGCGATGTATCGAAACCCATATGAGGCGATGCATACTAAAAGCATCAAAACAAACCGTTGAAAAGAAACAGCTTTACCTGACTCTTCCATTCAAAGGAAATAGTGCGGCTGAGACATGCACGCGTCGACTACAGCAAAGCTGCAAAAAGACCTTTAATGCGGCTCAGCTGAATGTGGTTTTCACGAGCAGACCTTTACTAGTTCCGAGATTCAAAGACCGAGTGCCTGATCATCTCCAATCAATGTTAATCTACCGGTTCACCTGTCCGTGCGGGGCCAGGTACATTGGGCGGACGACCAGGCATTTACGTAAGAGAATTAAAGAACATCTCCAAGGTTGGCTCTACGATCGCGAAAACGGGACAAACTACAGCGCGTTTACGAGCCATCTAATCAACACAGGCCACCAGATAAACAAACAAGCCTCCTTTCAGATTCTCTACAGAATATCACCAAGCTATAACCATCGTTTAGGAGCAAGCCGACTTGCCACCGCTGAGGCAGTATGCGTAGGCCTGACAAAACCGGACTTGTGTATCCAGAAAAAGATGATACAAACACTACAACTTTCGTGGCCGACCATCAGACGGGAAGGAAGTGATGGTACTCCGCAACTCCACCTGACTTCAGTTATGTGATCAGATGACTGCCATCATGATCACAAGTTAAATTTTCTGATCAATTGTTTCTTTGTTATACTGACGATTACAACAGACCTTACCCCAAAGTATATTATTGTATGAGCCTGACGAAGACTGGAGGTGCCTTCAGTTTATAAACAAGCGAATTCTAAAAGGTACCGATAATATTTGGAGCGACATCAAGCCATTTATTGCGACGCCGTTGTGCCACCAAAACGCAGGGTACTTCTAGCACAAAAGCGCGTGATAGCAGTGAGAAGTACTACAACTTGATTCGCAACCTGTTATACAGCCTCGTCAACAGCAATTGATGGTGATGTGGCCAATCTGCGTCCAAGACTGTGTGAGCGAAAGGAGCTGCCAGGTGACGCGCTGGCTCCAGGTGCCGAAATTCGGCACACGAGAGGAATAAACCGTGGTCGCCACAGAGTTGTTAAAGATGATCGCCGTTTATCTGTCTTACGAGTACCGTGACTATACTGATCACTGAGTTCGCTTTCATCAGTTTCGTGTCAAACAGCTTACGTGTTTATGTCTCCGACGAGCACCAAGACGTCCTATTTTGTGTTTGCTCTGCGTCACATACTATCTATACTGTTGTTTTTTGAATTTTGACCGAATATGCATGTTCTGTTTTTGGTGGGAGTTGTCCAGTGGCTGTTCATAATCAGTGTGGCATGTGAAGCTTGGATCGGGCTGCTGGACTTGTGAGTCACACAGTTAAGATGGTGTTTCCCTATACTGTTCTCTCAGTACAGAGCATTTGATTTGTCTGGGCCGCTTGTCACCTTCGAGTGCTGGTACCGCGAATTTCGGGTGGCAACGAACTACGGAGGGCGCTCGGAAAGCCGAAGTGTAGCGGCACAGGCGTTAAGGAAACGTTTCTTGGAACGTCCAATTCGCTGCTGAATACGAAAGCTATCGTCATCGTCATCATCATCATACTGTGCCGCAACGAAAGCTATCGACAACCAGGTGGCTCATATGTATTATTATTATCCTTCGGTGGAAGTCCAGAGAGAAGCAAGTGGCCATCGAGTTTGTTCTTCCATCATCCTTTAGGTAGCCGATTCCGCGTACAAAGTAGATAGTCAGTGGCCCCATAGACAGTCACATTGGCCTTGTCGCCGTGCCGTACGTCCTCTTGTGGTAGTTAGTGGAGTGCCAGATGAGCAGTCTAGAACTCCCCACGCTCAGAGATGCTGCGCTGATTGTTCGCTTATTAATCTCAGTTGCGAATCGAACGACTTATTCACCGTTGCTTTCAGTAGGACGGCATCCTCCGATCCGCAATTTGGGGAAGTGCGTGGCTGCGTACAACGATCCCGTAAGCTGCCCAAAAGATAAACATCTCACGCTCAGCTTCATCCTGCGCCACTGCTACTCCACATCTAGTACATCATGGCATCACCGCTAGACTGGTATACGCTTGGCTGAGGCGGTTCTGTCATCTTTGGATTTTGTGGTCCACACCCTACCAACCTACGGGACTAGTTGAGCATTCACTTCATTGTCATTACTAAATGGTTGATTAGTGTATCTGTCACCAGTTACTTTAAAACGCAGTACGTGCTAGTCGTGGAATAAGTACTAATACTGCCATATTATCAGTTGCATTACAAAGTTAGTGCACAGGTTGGTACGCCCCATCACAATCTCATGAAACCAGGAAGCTTCGTACGCTAGAGTCACCGCACCAGTGAAAGTGTCGATGATGTCCATCGGTGCACATGTGATTTGGTCAAAGTAAACGGTGAACCCGAGCTTCAATGCGTCCCTCGTACTTTGCTTGTTACCCCGCGCGCGAAGTGTCAACCGCATGCAAAACTCGTATGGACAAGAATGTGGGAGTTTAGCTCGCGAATGCGAGTAGCCAGTAGACCTTTTCGACAACAGGCTCTGTTATAAGCATACTGTGGGCCAATATGTTGAGCCACTTTCGTCTAACACGCCATTTGTGACCACAGACAAAGGCTAGTTACTGCATCCATCTCCCCGTCGTGTAATCGGCCAACGTCCATGTGGCAAGTTGCACGCGAGCAAATACGAACTCAAGTGAATCCGTTTGCACTCCTCTGCCCCATAAATGCGTACATGTTGTTGTGTATATGCATCCGATATCCCATTCGCTGGTGGCGCTTGAGTAATGAAAAAGTTGACTGGGATAGTTTTAAATGTGCCAAGAAGAATGCCTTTGACTCATGCTGTGCACCCAGGTTGAGATGCAACTGTGAATGGATCTCTGAGGCATCGATCAGCTTGATCGAAACACGGAAACAGGTTCCGATGGGCAATAAATTTCAGTGTGTCCGTAACTCCTTTAAAGGACGTCTGACAAGAAGTCTTCGAGTTCACCGGGAGCGTTAGTGAATGGCAAGAGCTCGTGAGATGAAGAAAGCCAGTGTTATTGGGAGCAGCCGAGTGCTATTCCAGCTCATCCGGAAAACGGGTCCGAGAAAGCCATCAGTTAGCGAGACAATAGCTGAGAGAGATGGACAGTTGATCCATTCTCAGCGTCGTCAACCAGTCCGTTGTGTGAAACATATTGTAGAGCAGCACAATAGACATGCTGCGACACTGCTGCTCATCGAATCTTCAGAGCCGAAGTAGGAAGTAGATGTCACATCTCCTACCTTGGAGGAGATTCGACATGAGCTCTTCCGGTTGAAATGAAACAAGGTTCCTGGACCCGACATGCCTCCATTTTGGCTGAAAGACGTTGGTGACTACTTGTTTACTGGATTTGCTCCTCTATTTAACACTGAAGAGAAGCCCTCAGATTGCCGAATGTCAAATACCGTGCCCA